TATATATATATGTATGTATGTATATATCCTACAGTTGCACTATTGTTATCATTATAAATAAAACTAAAAGTAATAAAGTTTATAAATACAAATAAAAAATAAAATTAAAAAATAATATAAAATTTAATTCTATTTTAAAATCTGCATCCTACTGTTTGACTAGTGTTATCATTACAGTTAAATAAAGCATATAAATAAAAAATCATTCAAATCTATAAAAACAAAAACGAATTTAAAATATATTTAATTAAATAAAAAATCGACACCCTACTGTTTCACTATTGCTACCATTATAAATAAAATCAAAGTAATAAAGTGTATAAATAAAAAAAAACATTCAAATCTATAAAACAAACATTAATTTAAAATTAATATTAAATATTACATTTTAAAAATCGACATCCTACTGTTTCACTATTGCTGCCATTAAAATACAAGTAATAAAATTAATAAATAAAATAAAAACTCTGACGATTCACTTTTTTATAAAAGAATTCATCCAAATCATCTCATCTATCAAAAAACAAACAAATAAAATAATAATAATAACATAATATTAAAGACAAAAATGCATAGAGGAAAATATCCGTGAGGCGCTCACCTGAAGTCGACAGTAGCAGAGCACGGCAATGATACACAGGAGAATCACCGTGGCGAGAATTCCTCCGGTTATAACCACAGTTCCCGCTGTCATCCGACCGGATCTCCATCAAACTCTACACACACACACACACACACACACACACACACACACACACACCCACACACACACACACTGACCGTCAGACTCACATGCCAAACGACCACTGTAAGTGCCATTATTTTGAGTGCAGCGTCACAATGTCCGCAAGATGGCGCTGCAAAACCACAAAAATCATCCACAGATCCAACACTTGAAGTGACTCGAGACAGAGTGCTCAGGCAGTTTGATTCAGAGCAAGTGTCGCTGAAAATTTATCAAAATAAAATAAAATATATAATAATACATAGTATAATATAAAATATAACAAGTTTTTACAATATAAAATATTTCTTACAAAATACAAAATATAGAACTATTTCACTGCTATTTCATTTTCATCCAGAATCTGAATAAAAATAATTCAATAACATCAAATAAAAGCCTATTTTACAATTATACTAACAGTAAAAACACATACTAAAAGTATTTTCTAAAAGCCATTCTCTCAAAATAAATCATAAATAAATAAATCTGCATCAACCAAATATAATAATAATAATAATAATAATAATAATAGTGAAAAATAAATAATAAAAAAATGCCTTCAACATATATACAATAAAAATGTATTTAAGATTCTAAATGAATAAATATAAACATAAACCATAAGGAACAATAAAATTCCCAAAAATATTACACATTTCCCCCCACAAAAATCTATTGAATTCTATCAAAACTAAATCAAATAAACAACCATCTAGTATTTACAAAATCTCTCTACTTCTTGATTGTTTGATTGTAATAGAACCACCATTTATTTTTCCCTGCATGCATATCCCCATGTGCTCACTTGTAGTTTTCTGTAACTTTGCTGTCGCCTCCTTTCTATTAATTGCTTTCAATATCCTTCCTTTATAAACCACTTTGGATAAAAGCACCTGCTAAATTAATAATGCAAAAAGCGAAGCTGATGCTGGAGCTCCAGCTCCAAGCCTGGAAGACTAACATGTGGTGCATCTTTTAGCAATTCCTCTCTCACACACCACATGAACAGCCCAGATTATACAGCAACAACAGAAGAACAAACCCTGCTGATAAGACATGCATCTGTATTCAGACCCACCTGCAAAGACACTAAACTATTAATGAGCACTTTATGAATTATTACACGCTGCCTTCTGAGCATGTTTACAGGAATCTATAAAGTGCTTCAAATGAAATGTAGCTTGACAGTTTACTAGTGCAATTAATCTGGAAAAGTCGCGGATGAATGTTAAAACTGTTGGCAGAAAAACTGCAGTTTGTGTCATTTTTCATATTAGTCATCTGAAATATGAAAGATAATATAACTTTTTTTATAGGGTTGAGTATACATTTTTAATATTGAGAGAGAAGTGCCTGCATATGAATTTTCTCCAGCATTACGCTTAGAGATGCGAGTATGCGGTGCCGAGTCCCAGATTGCATTTGCTCAACTCGATCTGCATGCAATAATATAATGCAATGTTTTTAATGGAAGAATAAAGGTGGTTTTACTAAAAATCGGATTTTAAAAATCTAAAATGCCTATTTTTATAGAAAAAAAAAAATACTATTATTATAAATGAAATAATTATCTTAAAATAAAAAAATATATATATTTTTAAAAATTGTTAAAATTCAAATATATCAAAATACAATAATTTTAAGTAAGCTGATTAGGATCAAATGAATAAATGTAAACTTAAACCATAACAAACAATAAATTAATAATAATAATAATAATAAAAACAATCTATTTTTATATCAATTAGCTCAAAATAAAGCAAAACACAGAATAACACCTACATATTTAACAGAAAATTATAATAAAATGACATAAAAAAAAAAAATCCTGCAATGTTACCCCTCCCTTTAGAGAAGCTACGGTGGCCGATACAGGACTAAGACGTCGTCGGTAAAGACAGCAGAGAGCAATGAGATTTCTTTATAAAGGTAAATTAAGGAATTATATTTACTTAATTATTTAATAAATCGATGTTATTGCGAATATTAATGTACTTGTTCATAATTGTGTCAGTGTTTTACTCGCAAGAACAACAAAGTGACGAAACGCGCTGTGTAGAGCAGTTTGTCCGATTAGGGCTACTGTAGAAACATGGTGGCGACTTCCATGTAAGGGGACCCGCCATAGACATAATAAATACCTAGACGCCTCATTGGCCGCGTTTTTTCGGTTTACAATTCTAATGTTAATGTAGTATAACTGTGACAGCCTATACATGTTTTGTAATTTGAATGTACATGAAATGAAATTAAGTTGTTTCATTGCTTTCTCTGTCTTTAACCCCAGCATTTGAGCTTTTCTTGTGCTTCAGGTCAGAACACAGCTCATTCCCTTTGAAATACTGGAAGAAAATCTAAATAATACATCTTTAAGCA